AGAAATTTTATTTCTGCTATTACAGCGGGCAGGAGCGGGTGTGCGGGACCCCGGGGCGTCCTGGGCGTATACTCGGATCTGATTCAGGGCGCGGAGGTCGGGGAACACCAGGGCCACAGATCTCTGCGGCGGGTGAGCGCGGCTGCCTGCTAAGCTGGGGCGGGGGTGCGGTGGGAGAGTGCCCCTGGCTTAGGAGCTGGCCCCGTGGCCTGGCGCAGCCTCAAGGTGCTCTTTCTGGAGAAGGGATGACCGCAGGCATCGAGGGGATGGGCAGAGAGCGCTGACCGCTCACACACGAGGACCCGCGGTGGCCCAGGAGGCGAATTCCCCGGCCCAGCTGAACACCCTCTCCCCGGGGCCCGCCAACCCGTGGGACCTCCCAGCAGAGGGAATCGGAGCTGACACCGGGACCCAGACTGAGCTCAGCCCTTTCCCCTCCCTTCCCGCAGCCCAGCCAGCCGCCCAGCCCGCGACACTGCGGTGGTGGCCTGCGGGCACCCTCTGCCCCCACCCCCGTGGCGTGGCACCTTGCGCTCTCTCTGGGTACCTCCTGGCATTGTCCCCGTCCCGCGGGCGGCTGGGGCGAGCTGGAGGGGAGCACTTCTCCGAAGAGCCGGCATAACCGGAATGGGCAGTGCTGCGTGGTGCGGGTCTGGGTCCCGGGTGCAGCAGCAAGTCGGCTCCCGGTCGCACCAGGCCAGGCTTGGCGACTCTTCCCCCGCACTAGGGGCACATCGAGCCTAACCCCGTCCCTGAACCCCACGAGCAATGTTTTGACAGCCACCGAGAGCTCTCGGCCCCACGCCCCCTGCCCCAGGCAGCCAGCCCAGCAATTTCCGGAAAAATCCCAGAAAACCCACATTCCGTGGACACACAGAGCCCCGACTCCCTCCCGCTTCCTCCCTTTTAAAGAGGAGGGGGCCCTGGATGCAGGAGCCAAAGGTCAGGCCCAGCACCTGTGGGCTGGTGGGACCTGGGCTCACGGAGCAGTATCCTTGCTGCCCTCACTTTACAGACGACAAATTGGAGGCACACAGCGGGCAAGTCCCACAGCCAGCGGGTTTTTAGCTTGACTTCTCCTTGCCGCAGTTTTCTCTTCTGTAAATCCTGTGCAGCAATAGCATGTGTTTGTCAGGACTACAGCGAATTTGGAGAATTTTGTTAAGTGCTAGAGGAGAGGAGGGCGTTGGCTGGCCGGGGAAGGGAGCTCCTTCATGGGGTGAATTCACGTGGCCTAGCCACTGCTGGACATGAGAGTGGCCCGCAGGACATCTCTCTGTGGTCCAGGTTCTGCACTCAGCCCAGCTGAGCAGCTGGTGAGGCTTGGGCCACGGGGCCCTAGGCGCTTTCTCCTGGAGTACCGCCGGGCTGGAGGGTTCCGGGAAGCTTGAAAAAGGCTTTGGTTCTCGTTTTTCCATCTGTAAAATGGGCTAAGGCATTTTTCCTAAGTGGGATGAGTTGTGGCGCCCTCTAACCTCTCAGGGCCAGGTCCATTTGCTCTCCATGTAATGCCCAGCCCCTGGAACAGTGCCTGGCACACAACAGGGTTCAAGGAGGCATAGCTGGGAGCTCTGGGCAGATGCCCTTAATCTCTGAGGTGAGGCCCAGAGCCGAACCATAGTTCTACCAGCCCTGGCTTCTTGCCTGAGGCAAGTCATTGAACCTGTTCAAGCCTCAGTCCACTGAACTTTTAAAATAGGACCACCCTGTCCTGCCCTCTGTGGCTCAGTTGGATGGGCCCCCTCCCTGCACCGAAAGGCTGCGGGGTCCAGGGTTTCGGCCTCGACCCCCCACGGTGGTGCAGGAGGCAGGCAAGCGACCTTCAGCTCTCACATCGATGTTTCTCTCTCCCGTCCTCTCTCTCCAAAAATCAATAAAAGACTTAAAAATAATCGGACCACCCCGTCTGGGTTGTTGAAAATTGCAAGAGACCACCTCAGAAAGCGCCCATCGGGGACCCTGCGTGGCATGACCGCCCAGGCCTGCAGCTCCAGGGCCGGCCCCAGGCCCCGCGCGCAGAAAGAAGCACACACGCGGGGCAGCGCACTCTCTTTAATGGGAAGGGGTTCTCATTACTTACAGCAACAGGTAAAAACATAAATACGGGTGGGTGGGCGGCGGCCAGGCAGCTCGTGCCCGGGCGCCGGGCCCAGGCTCCGGAGGGGCGGCGGGATCGTAGGCGCGGCGCGCGCGGGGCCCCCCAGTTCC